CGGACCAGATGTGTGCCAAGTTCAATGGCAACGTCGAAAGGGTTTGCTACATCAACACCAGCGACCCGCAGAATAGGAGCCGGGTCAGGAGAGTATTTACCACTCAATTTCCTCACTTTTTTCCACTCATAGAAGAAGCAGAGGTGATGGTGGAAACAGTCTCGCCAACAAGTGAGTTTAGCTTCACGGATGACACGGCGAGCGATCGCACGCTTCTGGTTAAAATCAAGAAGTCTCTCAGCGGTTCTATTGTACTGGTACCTGCTCCATGCAGCGCGTTTCAAAAGTACTGCACGAGCACAAGCAGGAGACCACCAAGGCATGCACTTCTGAGAATGCCTGCCTGAGGTTTGGGGTATAGAATGAGAAGCTGCGGTATAAACTGACATCGAGAAGATGTGTAGGAGCTCAACAATGGAGGATGAAGAAGGAGCCTCGCTAAAAGCAGTGAGGTGTGAGTAAAGATCCCAATTTGCAAGATCAAATTGCCAGCGAGGGCTACGGAAAAGTTGGTGAATAGGAAGGAGAAGTAAGAATGATTGGAAAATGATTGCTGTCATGTAAGTCCGGTAGAACAGACCAGGTGAAGTCTAGTGCAGTGGAGGAAGAGCAGACTGATAGATCGATGCAAGAGAGAGTATGAGTACGAGGATCAAAATGGGTGGAGTACCCATATTTAAAACATGGAGGGGGTGAGAGGCGAGAAAAGCCTCCAACTGGATGCCACGTGAGTCACAATGAGACCCCCCCAAGAGGAAATGGTGGGCATTAAAATCACCAAGTAACAGAAGTGGTGGTGGTAAGGATGAGACAAGAAAGGCAAAGTCTGGGATAGAAAATGCTCGAGAAGGAGAGATATATAAAGAACATATTGTAAACCACTTATTCAAGTGGATACGGGCTGCAGTGTAATGCAGCGAGGTATGGACAAATAGTTGACAGTACGAAATATCATTGCGTAGAAGAAGGGCACTTTCATTAAAGGTCCCATCTAAGAAAGGATCCGAAGAATACAATAAATTATAGCCTGAGATAGGTTGGAAAACAGCCGAGTGTAATTTTGGTTCTTGTAAGCAAGCACCAACAGGGGAAAACCTGGAAAGCAACATCTGAAGCTCACCCCGATTACCCCTGAGGCCGCGGATATTCCACTGTAAATAGGCCATGATTGGCGATGAAGAAAATACCAGGAATCTGTAGGTAAAGGCACCTACGGACTAGAGGGGTTAGAAAAGTCAACGTGTGGTGGCATTGGAAGACATTCAAGCAGCGAAGGAATGGAGCGTTGCGAAGAATGGGATTGTGAAGATGGAGGAGAGGGAAGAGAAGGAACAGGAAGTGAATCAGTGTCCATTGAAGGTTTAGTCTCTGCAATATATTCTGAAATGGCTTCAAGTGTTTCTGAATTCAAAGATGTAAAGGGAGACCATATTGGAGATAGAAGGAGAGGGCAAGTAAAGACTGGGACAGTAATGGACTGTACCAAGTAGAGGGGGAGGGAAGAGTGTAAGGGACTGGAGATGAAGTGTGGGGGGGGGACAGAAGAGGTAGAAACCTGGGAGGTGGCAGAAGAGGGAGAAACTTGGGAGGGGACGGGAGTGGAAGACATAGTACGAGGAGGAGGGTGAATCTCCACACTTGTAATAGAGTCAGAGAGAGGGGAAGAACTAGGTACAGAGACTGGAAAGGTAAAGTGTGGAAGGGAAGGAAAGGGCAAAGAAGATTTGAGCAATGTGGATTTTTTGGACTTCTGAGAAGTAGAGGGGCAATTGGTATTAGGTGTCGTACGAGGTCTTGTCGATACTGGGGCTTGTGAGGAAGGATGCAAAGATGTGAGAACAGACTGAGTTGTAGTCGGGACATCATAGCCAAGGACAGCAAAAGGATTAGATGCCGGAGTGGCTATGGGAGGGGTAACAACAGAGGAGGCTGCAGAAGATGGGACCCCAGAAGTAGGGGGATGTTTGGAAACACGAGAATAAGAAACACGGGGTAGTCTCCCTTGGAGGCGGAGATGAGTAACTGCCATAGCATAAGGGAGACCTTCTGCCTCTTTGAGGCAACGGATTTCACGTTCATTTAAGTAGACCTGGCAACGGCGGGAGTACGAAGGGTGAGCTTCATTACAATTAAGGCAAGATGGAGGTTGACTGCAAGATGTATTAGAATGGTCGTCGGCACCACAGACTGGACATTCGGCCATAGATCTGCAATATTTCGCTGGGTAACCAAAACGCCAGCAATTTCTACATTGTTGTGGTGTAGGTATCACCTTTCGAACTTGTAACCGATGTCCCTGCGACATATACAGAGGATGGAGTTCTTGGCTGTCAAAAGTTAAACGAGCCACATTGCAAGGGTAACGTCTCCGCCCCCGGGCAGGAAGGACATAAGTGTCTACTTTGAGGATTGGGAGATCCTGGAGTTCCAGCTGTTCAAGAATGTCATTGCCACATGACTGGAAATTCTGTTGGACTATGGTATGGGGCAGAATGACAGTACCACTACAAGAATTGAGAGAAAGATGTTTTTCAATAGTGATAGGAGTAGTATCGATATTCGAAAGGAGAGAAAGATCATGAGCTTGGGTAGCATTCTGGACAGTGATGATGCGCATACTGCTCTTGAGAGCATGAAATGAAATATCTCTACCAACATGACGCAGGAGCGCTTTGCCAATACTATGGTCAGAAAGGTAGGCAGAAGAAGAAGTTGGTCTTAAAGTAAAGAATTTAGTCCATTGTGTGGTCCGAAACTGAGCGTGGAGAGGGAGTGCTTGACGTGTCGGTCTTTTCCGAGTAGAATGGGAAGGTAACGAAGGAGCATCATCAGGAGATTGACGTTGGCGTTTAGGAGTAGGACTGGAGTTGGTCCGGCGTGAAATGGGCGGGCGATTCGAAAATTGCCATACCGTAGAGGGAGAAGCCGGAAGCATAGTCAAAGGAGAGCGGAGTTCAGACAAATCGAAGGAGTCAGTCGAAGCCCCGGTACCTGAAGCGGGTGAGGAAACAGCACCAGCAAGAGGTACAGGGGCATCAGGAGTGTCCGAAGAGTGGTCTAAACACAAGGCAGGGTCAGAATGGGGTGCGGTATCAAGAAGGGGCCTGGGGGTAGTGGGTTCATTGATTGGGTTCTCCATGGTTAGGTTACTCCTTTGCTTTTTGTTTTTAAGAAAAAAAGAAAGAAAGAAAAAAGAAAAAAAAAAAAAAAAAAGGGGGGGGAGCGGGGAGGAATAGTTCCCAGGAGGAATGAAAGGGCCGGAAATCTCCCTCCACGCCCAAGAGGACCTCAGCACTGCTAGTAGCGCAGATGCAGCATGGAACCCATGCCATACCCTACCCTTCATGCCAGTAAACCAGCAATCCGGGATAGCAACCTCACATCTGCAGAGCTACCTCGGTGGACAAAAGAGAGGGCAGCCAGATATCCACCACAAAGCATACCTCCTTCGGCCACCACCCCCGGAATCTGAAAGGTGGCTTCCAGAGATACACCTGTCACCCAAAAGACACCCAAAGCTACTCTGGGATACCGGAGAGGGATCGGGACATCCCCAGGCGATCCAGATTCCACGGCAAACTACGCCACTGCCAAGAACCTCAACGGAATGGGATGGACCCAGGTGTCCTTTCCCCTACCTAGGAACTAGCGCACCTGTGGGAGAAATCCGAAAGGCCAAAAAGAGGAAGGGCAAAAGGGAGGGGTGGGGAGGAGGAGGAATGGAAAAAGGGGAGGATGGGATAGGGGAGTGGAGAATGGGGGGTAATTAGGTTCGGTCTGAGGAAGAAGACCGACAGGTCTAATTCCTCAGACCAAGAGCTTCTTCACCACGCCAAGGAGCCCCCCTTGAAGAGGTGAAGAGGGTGAAATCGCCCCACGAAGCAGCTCAATACCGATGGCATTTACACGCCTCCTCACACTCAGCGCCATGTTGGTACAAGGTAGCTCGCCTGAAAACAGCAGAGGGGTGCAGAGCACAACCGCACTCTACCGTGGTCAGGCAGCGAATGAGTGATGATGTAGGTAGGTAGTCGGTGATATGTGAAACAGCTTATATTCTGCCCAAGAATTTGTCTTGTGTACTTTAAATTCTTCCCAAATTTTATTAGCTGTAAATGAACCCAATTTATATAAACCAAAAGAAATTTGAATATTTTCAAAACTGCTTTTTATGAAACATGATTCTATTATATTCCCGTCGACCATGGACTTGCTTGAAATATCTTTCTCAACCTTTTTAAAATCAATTGGATGGTTAAAATCTCTCACATGAATAAACAGAGCATTGGAATCTTGTCCAGTTCTAATGCTATATTTATGTTGCTTTAACCTAAGTTCAAGAGTTTTACCAGTTTGACCGTATTAAACTGATATTTTTGACAAGGAATCTTGTACACACATCCTTCAATTTTTTTTTTTTTTTTTTTTGGGGGGGGGGAATTTTTTATATTTTTTTTTTTTTTTTTTTTTTTTTATTTACTGTATCAAGATTTTTAAATACAACTTTGATATTAAAATTCTTAAGTAGAGAAGGCATATCAACCAAGTTTTCATGGTAAGGTTGATGTCCGCTTGGAGTCTTGCAGTGTCCTTAATGGAGGACATTGTCATGCACATTCGGGTATCATCTGCAAAGGAAGACACGGTGCTGTGGCTTGCTGCTACTATCAAAACTATGCACTAAACACACAAGGGATGACAAATACGTAATCCCAACATCAAGGAGACGGTTTTCAACACAAGTCCATGGACACTTCATTAGAATTACGAGTATGTGGCAAACTAGTGTCTTTGGGCTAGTGTCCAGGGCGATTCAAATATCAAGGTTCAAGCCGCGTTAACACAGTAATAAGACTGTTAGTTCCTTAGTAATTACTAAGTGACAACATCCCCCTACCCCCCCTCCCCATCACCCTCCCACCAATAACAACTAACTACTCACCCCCCAAACCCCTCCACCACCAGCCAACCCCCGATCCTTCCCCTCCCCACAAACAACCATTGACATCATCACCCCCATCCTTCTCCAGGTCAATGGCGCCATTTATCCAAGGAGGTCAAGAATAGTGGCGCCACTAGTCACTCCTCTACCATCCACCACACCATCAACACCTCCAGCTCCTCCAGTTCCATCAACCTGTGGTAATTTAAAAAAAAACTTGGATTACTCCAATGTCATGGTAATTTTTGATAGATCAACTCCGAAAATATTTTAGCAGTGTGTCTTTCTATAAAATGTTTAAGGAAACATTCTAAATACATAGACTTCAAATTATTGCTTACTGCAGTTCATGAAGAATCTAGTAATGTTCATACTTTTATGTTTGCAAACATTGTTTTGGCGTGTTGCTGCTGGTGATGACACGTCGCCACACAGCAGCTGCCCACAACGTGGACGTCGCCACACAGCAGCTGCCCACAACGTGGACGTCGCCACACAGCAGCTGCCCACAACGTGGACGTCGCCACACAGCTGCCCACAACGTGGACGTCGCCACACAGCAGCTGCCCACAACGTGGACGTCGCCACACAGCAGCTGCCCACAACGTGGACATCGCCACACAGCAGCTGTCCACAACGTGGACGTCGCCACACAGCAGCTGCCCACAACGTGGACGTCGCCACACAGCTGCCCACAACGTGGACGTCGCCACACAGCAGCTGCCCACAACGTGGACGTCGCCACACAGCAGCTGCCCACAACGTGGACGTCGCCACACAGCAGCTGTCCACAACGTGGACGTCGCCACAACAGCAGCTGCCCACAACGTGGACGGTCGCCACACAGCAGCTGCCCACAACGTGGACGTCGCCACACAGCAGCTGCCCACAACGTGGAACGTCGCCACACAGCAGCTGCCCACAACGTGGACGTCGCCACACAGCACAGCTGCCCACAACGTGGACGTCGCCACACAGCAGCTGCCCACAACGTGGACGTCGCCACACAGCAGCTGCCCACAACGTGGACGTCGCCACACAGCAGCTGCCCACAACGTGGACGTCGCCACACAGCAGCTGCCCACAACGTGGACGTCGCCACACGGAAAATATCTTCGACCTACAATTCTCGATAAACTCAAGAGCATTAAGTAAAATGTAATAAATAAATAATTAATAATAAATAATACTCTTTCTTTATCACAGCAAAAAATGTTCAAGGAACATAATAGAAAAAGAAAATTGAGACGAGCCTTAACTGCTGTATTTGTCAGCAGGACGACAACATTCACACAATTCGGGAGCTTTGAGCTCGGGACCTTGTGGCTTAGCGCTTCTTTTTGATTATAATAATAATAATAATTTAAGCTCGGGAAAAAAAAAATATTGTACCTACCTCAAGCCTACTAACAGTAGTAATGAGGCGGACAGCCTCATTACTGCCATTATTAGTAGTTTGAGGTATGACACATTTTTAAATTTCATGAGCTTGTTTCATGACCAGTGTTGTACATGACGCTTTATGGCAAACCACTTCCTCGTGTACAAGTCTATCAGAATCCTGGAGACAAGAGGTGATCATGGTTTGTCAGGATTCTGCAGCAATTAAACCAAGTTGGAGGGTAAACTCGGTAACATACATTATAACCTACTCCTGATATCCCTTACTCAGATTTTTTTGACTTTAGTGCAAGTTAACTGGAAAAATATTTTTATACTCTCCTCTGAATCAAACACGATTGACTTTCGAGGAACAGGTCGATGAGAGTTTACCGCTCCCCCCCCCCCCCATTTAAACTACTTTACATACGTGCACATCTACCCAAATAAAACTTCTTATGGATATATTATCCATAGGGGTTAGACAGCTTGGGGAATGTTAGACAATCGGGTTTGATCCAAGGAAGGGAAGGGTACTTGCAACTGTTTGTATCAAGATACTTTTGTACTATTGAAATACACCCCTTGAAGGGCATCCAAATTTAACATGAAGGTAGTTAGGATCATTAAGACAGCACTGTATTTCCCCTACACTTCCACGTCCCTCATAGCACACTAGGCTAACAATCAACACTATGGATTATCTAACCAGTTAAGAGGCCTGCCGTATACTAGTTTCCTAACACACACTACTATGCTAGCCTGAATTCATAACCTACATTACCTGCCACTTATGGCTGGCATCCTAGGCACAACCTGAGGACCACTACATTCAAGCCCCCAACTCTCTCTACCTTTGTTTTTCTAACCTAGCAGGGTTAATAATCCTATTTTCACTACTACCAGTCTAAATCACCTCCCTAACTATACTCATCAGCATCAGATGTTAGTGAATCCTTTCAGCCGACTAACACTTCACTTCACTTCAGATCAGATCAGATCACAGAAGTTTCCGATGTCATCATTAACGTCTGCTGCCAGAAGTGTTACGCTTCACTACTTACAAACCATCAAACCAACTGCAATTCTGAACGCTAATACTTTTATATTCATAGGAACCTGGAAGCCGCTTAAATTTTCCAAAATGATGAAATTGTGTAAACTCAATAAATCAATATTTAACTTTGCACAGTTTGGCCAAAGGCATAAAAAACGTAGAACACCCACCACAACCACTACCCAAAGCCCGAAACCCACCAACATCCCCAGAGAAACCACGAGCAATAACAGATTGCAGACAGCTACTGAAGGTCGTTGGTGGGTTCTAAGGCCCATAGTTCTACGTAATCTATGCCTTCGGGGGAGATTAGTCTCCCCTGCTATATGCATTCATAATGCATATAGCAGATGCTCCAGTTCTATTCTTAACCTGACTACCTACATATATAAAACTATTTACAATACACTTATGGAAACCAACAATGGGGAAGCAATTCGAGACGATCTTTTGGTTTCTCTTGGACGAGCATCAAGTCAGACCATGGGTCAAAAAGAATAATAGACCACAAGACAGGTCGCAAAAACAGTGGAGGGGGGAGGGGGTGAAATTACAAAGGACGTCAGGCGACCAAGTTTCAAAAAACAGTAGTGGTATAGACAGTAGCAGTAATAGTAGTAGTAATAATAACAATAGTAGTGTAGGTAGTAAAGGTAAGATTTGCGGCAATACCAATGGTGATAGTGATAATGCTAATGGTGGTAGCATTAGTACTGGCAATAATAGAAGTGTTTGTAGTCAGTCTAGCAGTAAGTCCTGGTAATAGTGGAGGTAGTAGTAACATTAATAGTAATAGTAACAATATTCGTAGCAGAAATAGTGTCAGTACAAAAAACAGTGGGGAAATTGAGACATGTTAACCTTTAATAATAAAGTTCAACAGGGGTTTACAATAGACATGAAAAGCAACCCCAATATTCCTGTTGACCAATGTTAGGTAAGAAATTAGAAGTAAATAATAAGTCTGGCTAAGAGACTGGCCATCTATCAGGGTTGGAGGGAAGATCTCAAAATTAACTCTCCAATTTAGTCTCCAAGACTGTTGTCACCTCTGTAGTCGACAAATAAAGTCTACTCCCCAAGCGCAACAATTCATGAAAAATGAAACCTGTCACAATGTCTCTTACCAACTTGTTATTGTACACCTTTCATAATGTGAAAACATAATATACGATAGAGAAGCCTGGCTCGGTGGTCTGGTGGCTAAAGCTCCCGCTTCACACACGGAGGGCCCGAGTTCGATTCCCGACGGGTGGGAACATTTCGATACGTTTCCTTACACCTGTTGTTCTGTTCACCTAGCAGCAAATAGGTACCTGGGTGTTAGTCGACTGGTGTGGGTCGCATCCTGGGTTGATAAGATTAAGGACCACAATGGAAATAAGTTAGACAGTCCTCGATGACGCACTGACTTTCTTGGGTTATCCCGGGCGGCTTACCCTACGGGGTTAAAAATCCGAACGAAATCTTATCAAAACTAAGGCCAGGTGCAGTCGATAGTAGTCTTAAAACAACCCAGGTTACACCGAAACGTCTAAAGTTTCCTCCCCAAGTGTCAGTTTCGTGAACCTAGTAAACAAAGCAACATTAGACTTGCCAAAGGCATGAAACACGTAAACACCCACCACAACCACTACCCAAAGCCCGAAACCCACCAACATCCCCACGGAAACCATGTGCAATAACAGATTCCACACAGCTTCTGAAGGTGGTTGGTGGGTTCCCAGGTCCACAGTTCTACGTAATCTATGCCTTCAGGGGAGATTACTCTCCCTTGCTATATGCATTCACAATGCATATAGCAGATTCTCCAGCTCTATACCTTACCTATTAAATAGCCTACTTAATACCACTAATTCTACAAGTTATTTGATAAAAACTAAATAATTATAGACCTACAAAGTGTTACATATATACACAACTATGCAGCATACTCCAGGTATAGGCCTTAGTAATTTGCAAAGCAGCGGTGGCGCAAGGTGGAAGGAAGGGAGGTAAAGGTAAGATCAAGGGGGGTCTAGGTAAGATTCAAGGGGGGTCAAAGGGTTTGATCAAGGGGCCTAGGTAAGGTCAAGGGGGGGTATAGGTAAGGTCAAGAGGGGTTAGGTAAGATCAAGGGGGTCAGGTAAGATCAAGGGGGTCTAGGTAAGATCAAGGGGGTCTAGGTAAGATCAAGGGGGGTTCTAGGTAAGATCAAGGGGGTCTATGTAAGATCAAGGGGGTCTATGTAAGATCATGGGGGTCTAGGTAAGTCAAGGGGGTCTAGGTAAGATCAAGGGGGGTCTAGGTAAGATCCAAGGGGGTCTAGGTAAGATCAAGGGGGGTCTATGTAAGAAACAAGGGGGTCTAGGTTAGATCAAGGGGGGCCCAGGTAAGGTCAAGGGGGTTTAGGTAAGGTCAAGAGGGTCTAGGTAAGATCAAGGGGGTCTAGGTAAGATCAAGGGGGTCTAGGTAAGGGTCAAGGGGGTCTATGTAAGATCAAGGGGGGTCTAGGTAAGATCAAGGGGGGGTCTAGGTAAGATCAAGGGGGCCTAGGTAAGATCAAGGTAGTCTGGGTAAGATCAAGGGGGGTCTAGGTAAGATCAAGGTGGGTCTAGGCAAGATCAAGGTGGGTCTAGGCAAGATCAAGGGGGGCCTAGGTAAGATCAAGGTAGTCTGGGTAAGATCAAGGGGTCTTGGTAAATCAAGGGGGATCTAGGTAAAATCAAGGTGGGTCTAGGCAAAATCAAGGGGGTCTAGGTAAGATCAAGGGGGATCTAGGTAAGATCAAGGTGGGTCTAGGCAAAATCAAGGGGTCTAGTAAGATCAAGGGGGTCTAGGTAAGATCAAGGGGGCTTAGTAAGATCAAGGGGGGCTTAGGCAAGATCAAGGGGGGTCTAGGTAAGATCAAGGGGGTCTAGGCAAAATCAAGGGGGTCTAGTAAGATCAAGGGGGATCTAGGTAAGATCAAGGTGGGTCTAGGCAAGATCAAGGGGGTCAAGGTAAGATCAAGGGGGTCTAGGTAAGATCAAGGGGGTCTAGGTAAGATCAAGGGGGTCTAGGTAAGATCAAGGGGGTGTAGGTAAGATCAAGTGGGTGTAGGTAAGATCAAGGGGGGTCTAGGTAAGATCAAGGGGGGTCTAGGTAAGATCAAGGGGGGGTTCAGGTAAGATCAAGGGGTCTAGGGAAGATCAAGGGGGTCTAGGTAAGACAAGGGGGGGCCCAGGTAAGATCAAGGGGGATCTAGGTAAGATCAAGGTGGGTCTAGGCAAGATCAAGGGGGATCTAGGGAAGATCAAGGTGGGTTCAGGTAAGATCAAGGGGGTCTAGGCAAGATCAAGGGGGATCTAGGGAAGATCAAGGTGGGTCTAGGCAAGATCAAGGGGGTTTAGGCAAGATCAAGGGGGTCTAGGCAAGATCAAGGGGGGTCTAGGGAAGATCAAGGGGGTCTAGGTAAGATCAAGGGGGTCTAGGTAAGATCAAGGGGGTCTAGGTAAGAAACAAGGTGGGTCTAGGTAAGATCAAGGGGGTCTAGGTAAGATCAAGGGGGTTAGGTAAGATCAAGGGGGTCTAGGTAAGATCAAGGGGGTCTAGGTAAGATCAAGGGGTCTAGGTAAGATCAAGGGGGTCTAGGTAAGATCAAGGGGTCTAGGTAAGATCAAGGGGTCTAGGTAAAATCAAGGGGTCTAGGTAAGATCAAGGGGGTCTAGGTAAGATCAAGGGGGTCTAGGGAAGATTTAATGTGAGTTAGGGAAGATCAAGGGGGTCTAGGTAAGATCAAGGTGGGTCTAGGTAAGATCAAGTGGGTCTAGGTAAGATCAAGGTGGGTCTAGGTAAGATCAAGGGGTCTAGGTAAGATCAAGGGGTCTAGGTAAGATCAAGGGGTCTAGGTAAGATCAAGGGGTCTAGGTAAGATCAAGAGGGTCTAGGTAAGATCAAGGGGGTCTAGGTAAGATCAAGGGGTCTAGGTAAGATCAATGTGGGTCTAGGTAAGATCAAAGGGGGTCTAGGTAAGATCAAGGTGGGTCTAGGTAAGATCAAGGTGGGTCTAGGTAAGAAACAAGGTGGGTCTAGTAAGATCAAGGTGGGTCTAGGTAAGATCAAGGGGGTCTAGGTAAGATCAAGGTGGGTCTAGGTAAGATCAAGGGGGTCTAGGTAAGATCAAGGGGGTCTAGGTAAGATCAAGGGGGTCTAGGTAAGATCAAGAGGGTCTAGGTAAGATCAAGGTGGGTCTAGGTAAGATCAAGGGGGTCTAGGTAAGATCAAGAGGGTCTAGGTAAGATCAAGAGGGTCTAGGTAAGATCAAGAGGTCTAGGTAAGATCAAGAGGGTCTAGGTAAGATCAAGAGGGTCTAGGTAAGATCAAGAGGGTCTAGGTAAGATCAAGGGGGGTCTAGGTAAGATCAGTCTACAAAATCTCTAAATATATTCGGTATAAACCAATTTTAAAACAAATGCTCCGCCCCCGACTCTAATACAGACTCTGGAGTCGTAAGCGCTAAACCCACAAGTCTTCAAAACAAAATTACTTGTCCAGGTCCTCTACAACTCAAGTTTTTTTCCGGTTTTAAAAATTTTTCGCCTATGGAAAATTTTATCCCCTTTAAGCTAAAATTTTGGTTGTGAAGTTTTAAATAAGGTAGACAAATGATGGTTGAGATTTGGGAATTGCCTAGCAGGGCCAATAGACCTATTTCTTGCCCTTTATTTTTAAAATAAGGATATCCCTGATTTAATGGGTTTCCTTACAGCCGCTCAAGCGTTACCATTCCCCTCAACACCTAAACTATCTCATATATTATTAACCGAAAATTTAAATACGAATTACACAAAATACTACCCTGACGGGGCTCGCGGGAAAGGGTTTTTAAAAAGTTAAAAAAATTCAGATTCAAAAGGATATAGGAAAACGTTTGGTAATGAGTTTGGATAGTGAACAAAACTCCCAGTAAGTTATAAGGCCAAAACTTTGTGTACTTTAAAAATAGGTTGGGATAAAACATGGTAATGTGGGGGGTGTAATTGGACCTGATAGCTTGAGCTACCCGGTCGGTTTTCCGTTTTCCCCCCCTTAAGTCAAAGTGACCTGCCTGAATAGGTTGGGTGCATTGGTTAACCGGGAGGAGACTTTTCCGCCCCATGGGGGAGTAGGCCTTCTGCAGTTTTCCCTTTGTTTTATGTTCTTACTTCTTATATTTTTTTCGGGTATTTATACTCCCCCGGATGAGACTCCTACCATTTGGCCTGCTCAGGGCCTGTTGCAAGTTCTTCCTTTATGTGATCTCTTTTTTTTCTCTCCCTAAGTCTTTTCAGGAGGGTTCCACTGCATAATAAATATTTTCCTAAACTTTTCTAAAAACTAGTCATCTTTTTAATTCTAACTTTACAAAAACCCTTTTCCTATTTTAATAATATACATTGGAAGGCCCGGGGGATTGGGACCAAACCTGCACACGAAAATCACTCCCTTTTTAAAGCAAAAGCTCGGGGAAGATCACATTTCCCCCCGATAAAACAGGGGGGGCCACGAGTACACGACAACACAATAAGTGTCCAGGGGCCCCAAGACTGTTTTGGGTTTCCTCCCACTAAATAAGGGGGATTACCAAAAACCCCTGGCTGCTTAAGAAAGGGACTGGGCGGGACCTAAAATCGTACCTGACCGCCGGGATTGGGTTCGTCTTTAGCTTTGGCCGGCCACAGTACAGCCTGGTTATCAGACCCTGACCACCATGTTTTTTATTAAATCAAGGGGGAAGCGAAACCCGGGGGCTTATACAGCGCCTGGGGGGGGTGTGGAAGGCATTAGGTTAATTCGGGAACTGGACAAAAATCCAATTCCCAAACAAAAGCCCCTCACCAACTCAAGGGAAACCTTTCCTTGAGGGGGGTCACCCTGGCCCGAGCCTTTCGACCGGGCCCCCGGGAAGTTGCCCCCCCGAAACCCCCGCAAGGGAAACCCCAAACCCCCAAACAAGAACCTTAATCACCTCATTTTTCCGACCCAGATTTCACCGGTCAGGGGGGTAAAGGGAAAACTTCCCCACACCTACTTTGGATCAATTTTTTACAATTTTTTTTAAAACTACCCACCCCTTTTCCCCCCAATATAATTATGTGCTTTAATAAAAAAACTTTAGTGGACATATAACCTGGAAATGCCTTACAAGTGGGCCCCGCCCACCTCTGACGACGTCTCCTGCTGCTGCAGCTCCACATAACACTAAGCATTATGGGTAAGACCATTTACTAGTGTGGTTACCTCCACTCCTCAGACTGGTCAAGGTTGCTGTGTTGATCAATGTTGCAGCAGACACAGCCAGGCACAGCACTCCTCAGTTACCACACCTGGAACAACACACATTCACATTATAACCATAAACATTACACACACATTTATAAATAAACATTACTATGTAATATAAACTAGTAACATTACTGCCTGACACTCACACACATTAATATTTTACATGGTAAAGTTCTTTCTTTAATAAATATTTCTTCCACATAAATCTGATAATTTATTTACATGGAAGTCTATCTAGATCACAAGGCGCAAGTTCCTTGGATCAAGAGACCTTCACTTATTTTTCTAACAGTAAAAAAAAATAGCCCAGAACTGGATACACTATTATGGGTTATGTAAGGCCTAGTGTGAGAGTTATTGTTTGATCAGAGGAAGGGGAGTAGCTCCAGTTCCTCGCATCGAAACCCCTCCACTAAGGTTAATCACCCCCCCCTCCAAGGCATTAAACCCCAAATAAATTAAGACTATTAAAATATTAATAATTTGGTGACCAAACTAGTGGTGGTGACCAGGAGCTGCAGCTCAACTCTGCTGTTGTACTGACAAATGCGTCACCAGACAATACTTACGTTATTTATGTGTATTAAGAGGCAGAGGAAGCGGTAAAGCCGGCGGGGTGGCAGGAGGAGGAGCAACATGTCTCTTCCGTACGATCACTGAAGTTCAAGTGACCTTTAGTGACCTTGAGGTTGGTCACTGTCCTGACCTTCACTATAATAACATCACTGATAACCTGACTAACTCTGACTACCGTCACTAGATGGCACTACTACACCACCACTAGATGGCACTACTATACCACCACTAGATGGCACTACTACACCACCACTACCACCACTAGATGGCACTACTACACCACCACTACCACCACTAGATGGCACTACTACACCACCACTACCACCACTAGATGGCACTACTACACCACCACTAGATGGCACTACTACACCACCACTAGATGGCACTACTACACCACCACTACCACCACTAGATGGCACTACTACACCACCACTACCACCACTAGATGGCACTACTACACCACCACTACCACCACTAGATGGCACTACTACACCACCACTACCACCACTAGATGGCACTACTACACCACCACTAGATGGCACTACTACACCACCACTACCACCACTAGATGGCACTACTACACCACCACTACCACCACTACATGGCACTACTACACCACCACTACCACCACTAGATGGCACTACTACACCACCACTACTACCACTAGATAGCACTACTACACCACCACTACCACCACTAGATAGCACTACTACACCACCACTACCACCACTAGATGGCACTACTACACCACCACTACCACCACTACATGGCACTACTACACCACCACTACCACCACTAGATGGCACTACTACAACCACCACTACACCACTAGATAGCACTACTACACCACCACTACCACACTAGATAGCACTACTACACCACCACTACTACCACTAGATAGCACTACTACACCACCACTACCACCACTAGATAGCACTACTACACCACCACTACCACCACTAGATGGCACTACTACACCACCACTACTACCACTAGATAGCACTACTACACCACCACTACCACCACTAGATGGCACTACTACACCACCACTACTACCACTAGATGGCACTACTACACCACCACTACTACCACTAGATAGCACTACTACACCACCACTACACCACTAGATGGCACTACTACACCACCACTACCACCCTAGATGGCACTACTACACCACCACTACTACCACTAGATAGCACTACTACACCACCACTACCACCACTAGATGGCACTACTTACACCACCACTACTACCACTAGATGGCACTACTACACCACACTACATTCCACTAGATGGCACTACTACACCACCACTACTACCACTAGATGGCACTACTACACCACCACTACCACCACTAGATAGCACTACTACACCACCACTACCACCACTAGATGGCACTACTACACCACCACTACACCACTAGATGCACTCTACACCACCACTACTACCACTAGATGGCCACTACTACACTCACCACTATCATCACCACTGATGGACACTCTCACCACCTGGGCACTACCACTAGATAGTCACTCCCAGTGGCACTCACTCACACTTGGATGTGCACTCTATGCCCTTTCCTTACCAGCACAGACTGGCCACCTTTAGTGCCACTTTCATTGTCCATTTTCTACTGTGCCACTTTATGTGCCACTTACTACTGTGCCGCTTTCTGTGCCACTTTATGTGCCACTTTATTGTCACACTTCACGTGCCACTTCATTGTGCCACTTTACTGTGCCACTTTATGTGCCACTTTCACTGTGCACTTCACTGTGCCACTTTCACTGTGCCCTTTCAATGTGCCCCTTTCACTGTGCCATTTTTGGATCACTTGCCTTGATGTGATTCACTGTGCCACTTTCACTGTGACCACTTTACTGTGCAACTGTGCCACTTTCATTGTGCCACTTTCACTGTGGCCACTTTCACTGTGCCACTTTTCATTGTGCCACTTTCACTGTGCCACTTTCACTGTGCCACTTTCACTGTGCCGCTTTAATTGTGCCACTTTCACTGTGCCACTTTCATTGTGCCACTTTCACTGTGCCACTTTCACTGTGCCACTTTCACTGTGCCACTTTCACTGTGCCAGCTTTCATTGTGCCACTTTCAATGTGCCACTTTCACTGTGCCACTTTCACTGTGCCACTTTCACTGTGCCGCTTTAATTGTGCCACTTTCACTGTGCCATTTACTACTTCAACTGTGCCACTTTCACTGTGCCACTTTCACTGTGCCACTTTCACTGTGCCACTTTCACTGTGCCACTTTCACTGTGCCACTTTCACTGTGCCACTTTCACTGTGCCACTTTCACTGTACCACTTTTAATTCCAGGTTACATCGAAGATAATAAATTTGGGCTCAATTCAACACAAAATACATTTGAACGTGTTGAAACATTACCATCACAGAATTATGTAGCATACTCACTGGGTAGCGCTAAGCCCGTATGGGCCATACAGCACTCTGGGAAATGGAAGGTGGTTAGATTTGATCCAGAAGGCAGATAACTCCAAGTTCTTGAATCAAAAGCCCATCGCCAGGTCGCCAGAATCAAGGCACCTATATTGGCGGGGCCGTCCGGTTAGGTTAAATTTTGACCGTGAGGGCCACCGATGGTCTGGCTTTTTGTTGATAACTATAAAATATGCATAAAATTTTCGGGAGAATATGTGTCATCTTAATTTGAAAATATTTAAGCTCATAGACAATGAATAATAATTGTTAAAAAAAAATTAACGTCGAAATAAAGCCAGTTTTCGGGGAATTTTTTGATGCCCTAAGTTCGTGGAGAAGAATTAAAATTTGAGTTATACAGGTCTTGGGAAAATGGGAGATAATCGGATTTAATCCAAAGAAGAGGAGATTAGCTCGAATTCCTTGAATCAAGAGCACTTTATTGAGCATCAGGGTACCTAATAGATTTTGGTTCATTAAGAATAACCATTTTATCTTCAGATGTGACACTTTTGTTGTAGGACATTGTAATGTTATTTTGCTCCGGACTCTGCAGCCATCTTGGGACTCTGCAGCCATCTTGGGACTCTGCAGCCATCTTGGGACTCTGTAGCCATCTTGGGGCTCTGCAGCCATCTTGGGACTCTGCAGCCATCTTGGACTCTGCAGCCATCTTGGGACTCTGCAGCCATCTTGGGACTCTGCAGCCATCTTGGGACTCTGCAGCCATCTTGGGACTCTGCAGCCATCTTGGGACTCTGTAGCCATCTTGGGGCTCTGCAGCCATCTTGGGACTCTGCAGCCATCTTGGGACTCTGCAGCCATCTTGGGACTCTGCAGCCATCTTGGGACTCTGTAGCCATCTTGGGACTCTGCAGCCATCTTGGGACTCTGAAGCCATCTTGGGACTCTGCAGCCATCTTGGGACTCTGTAGCCATCTTGGGGCTCTGCAGCCATCTTGGGACTCTGCAGCCATCTTGGGACTCTGCAGCCATCTTGGGACTCTGCAGCCATCTTGGGACTCTGTAGCCATCTTGGGACTCTGCAGCCATCTTGGGACTCTGAAGCCATCTTGGGACTCTGCAGCCATCTTGGGACTCTGTAGCCACCTTGGGACTCTGCAGCCATCTTGGGACTCTGAAGCTATCTTGGGACTCTGCAGCCATCTTGGGACTCTGCAGCCATTTTGGGACTCTGAAGCTATCTTGGGACTCTGCAGCCATCTTGGGACTCTGCAGCCATCTTGGGACTCTGCAGCCATCTTGGGACTCTACAGCCATCTTGGGACTCTACAGCCATCTTGGGACTCTACAGCCATCTTGGGACTCTACAGCCATCTTGGGACTCTACAGCCATCTTGGGACTCTGCAACCATCTTGGGACTCTACAGCCATCTTGGGACTCTACAGCCATCTTGGGACTCTACAGCCATCTTGGGACTCTACAGCCATCTTGGGACTCTACAGCCATCTTGGGACTCTACAGCCATCTTGGGACTCTACAGCCATCTTGGGACTCTACAGCCATCTTGGGACTCTGCAGCCATCTTGGGACTCTACAGCCATCTTGGGACTCTACAGCCATCTTGGGACTCTACAGCCATCTTGGGACTCTACAGCCATCTTGGGACTCTGCAACCATCTTGGGACTCTACAGCCATCTTGGGACTCTGCAACCATCTTGGGACTCTGCAGCCATCTTGGGACTCTGCAGCCATCTTGGGACTCTGCAGCCATCTTGGGACTCTGCAACCATCTTGGGACTCTGCAACCATCTTGGGACTCTACAGCCATCTTGGGACTCTGCAGCCATCTTGGGACTCTGCAACCATCTTGGGACTCTGCAACCATCTTGGGACTCTACAGCCATCTTGGGACTCTACAGCCATCTTGGGACTCTGCAGCCATCTTGGGACTCTACAGCCATCTTGGGACTCTGCAGCCATCTTGGGAATCTAACACTGCAAAGACTCTTCATTCTGAATGGTGTGTCAAGCTTGGCTCTGGTCGGCATGGTTGCTCAACCACCTAACATGTCACCAAATACATCACCCAAAATCTTCATCAGGAATCACCGTTGTTTTCCCTGGAGTACCTGGGGGTGTATTCCTGGGGCCAACTATAATTTTAGTGTACAGGAAGAGTGAAAAACCATTTATAATTTCGATGTATTGTAATATTCTCACATACAATAATTGGTCTTTGTTTAGAGTCTATATATAACAAACGTGATTAATAATATATATACAGTCCTTTGGCATCAACTTGTAATTGCTGGGATGTTATGTGACAGACGTTACTTATTCTTGTGTAACTGTCCTTATGTCTGTCCTAACACCTGTCTTTATACCTGTCACAATACCTGTCCTAACACCTGCCACAACACCTGTTTTAACACCTGTCATAAAACTTGTCACAACATCTGTCACAACATCTGTCATAACACCTGTCACAACACCTGATATAACATTTGTCACAACATCTGCCACAATACCTGTCACAACAAATACCCCTGCAAGAGGCAGGGCCAGGAGCTATGACTCACCACCTGCAAACTCTAGGTGAAGAAACGGAGTATTGCTGCAGGTCAACGAATGCACAGCAAAAGAAAACTTTTCACCATAACGAGGTTTCGCCCACAGGAAGCACGAAGCGAAACCTCGCATCATCTGCCCTTGTTTATCGAGCACCAGGTGACCACACCTGCCGCAGCACCTGTCTTCACGTACCTGATTCTCCTCACCTGACCAATTCACTGCTTTCTGCTTACGTGCAAAAGAGGTGAATTGAGCTGGTGGAGGGCTCTTGATCCAGGGAAGGGGAGGTGACCTTCACTCCCTCGGATCAGCTTAATTACCTCTCATTATTATCAACCTCAATTATCGAACAGAAATAACAATATAATTAACTTGTTTTCGCGGGAAACGCTACGCCCGTATGGGCCATACAGCACCGTGCCAACGGGAGACAACCAGATTTAATCCGAGGAAGAGGAGGGGGTATCTTCAGTTCCTCATATCAAGAGCCCTTAACCACCACCAGCACCCATAAAGAGCCCGATATAATGACTATTCCATCAATATTTACAATGACTTTGTGTATAAATTTAATACACAAATATATACAAATTATTATTATTATTATAATCAAAGAAAGCGCTAAACCGTCAAGGGTCTTATTTGCAAGAGTTATTTGGAAATCATGTGGAAGACTCCTAGTTCAGTTCTGTCTTTTACCTGTGATATACCTGTGAGCAGTGCCGAGGGTTCCTCTACCCCTGGGTGCCCCTCCTGAGGCAGGTAGGCCTACATAGGCTGGCCTAAGAAAACATTTGGTCTCTAGGCAACACGTGAAGCATTATGACTGGCAATGACAGAAGTACATGGACCATTACGCGGGGCCAGGAGCTATGAATCGACTCCTGCAACCACAAATACCTGGAGTTTACCTGGAGAGAGTTCCGGGGGTCAACGCCCCCGCAGCCCGGTCTGTGACCAGGCCTCCTGGTGGATCAGAGCCTGATCAACCAGGTTGTTCCTGCTGGCTGCACGCAAACCAACGTACGAGTCACAGCCCGGCTGGTCAGGAACCGACTTTAGGTGCTTAACCAAATTCTGCAGACCTTAAAATACAATGCCTCTCCTGTCTTTAAGATGTGGACTCAGAGTTTCCCAGTCGACGTGACGCTCGATCAGTGGAACACAGTGTGTAGGGATTAAAACACTGATCACTGGTCTAAACTGATCTGTTTTCCTTCCCCTGATCAGTCAGGCTGTGGTGCGTGTATCAGAGGGCATGCAGAGAGCACCACCAGGGAGCACCAGGCAGGTCCGGGACCACCACTGGTCCCGGACCTGCCAGAGTGCACAGTAAACCCGAAACAATGTTTTGGTTTATTTCAGGTTTTACCCGGTTTTTACTCTTATATTGATGAAACAGAAATATAGTTTTATATACCTTCGATGTATCTGCTCTCTAATAGTGAGTCTGCTCTCTAATAGTGAGTCTGCTCTCTAATAGTGAGTCTGCTCTCTAATAGTGAGTCTGCTCTCTAATAGTGAGTCTGCTCTCTAATAGTAAGTCTGCTCTCTAATAGTAAGTCTGCTCTCTAATAGTGAGTCTGCTCTCTAATAGTGAGTCTGCTCTCTAATAGTGAGTCTGCTCTCTAATAGTGAGTCTGCTCTCTAATAGTGAGTCTGCTCTCTAATAGTGAATCTGCTCTCTAATAGTGAGTCTGCTCTCTAATAGTGAGTCTGCTCTCTAATAGTGAGTCTGCTCTCTAATAGTGAGTCTGCTCTCTAATAGTGAGTCTGCTCTCTAATAGTGAGTCTGCTCTCTAATAGTGAGTCTGCTCTCTAATAGTGAGTCTGCTCTCTAATAATGAGTCTGCTCTCTAATAGTGAGTCTGCTCTCTAATAGTGACTCTGCTCTCTAATAGTGAGTCTGCTCTATAATAGCGAATCTGCTCTCTAATAGTGAGTCTGCTGTCTAATAGTGAGTCTGCTCTCTAATAGTGAGTCTGCTCTCTAATAGTGAGTCTGCTCTCTAATAGTGAGTCTGCTCTCTAATAGTGAGTCTGCTCTCTAATAGTGACTGCTCTCTAATAGTGAGTCTGCTCTCTAATAGTGAGTCTGCTCTCTAATAGAGTCTGCTCTCTAATAGTGAGTCTGCTCTCCAATAGTGAGTCTGCTCTCTAATAGTGAGTCTGCTCTCTAATAGTGAGTCTGCTGTCTAATAGTGAGTCTGCTGTCTAATAGTGAGTCTGCTGTCTAATAGTGAGTCTGCTGTCTAATAGTGAGTCTGCTCTCTAGTAGTGAGTCTGCTCTCTAATAGCGAATCTGCTCTCTAATAGTGAGTCTGCTCTCTGGGGGTGTTTGCTCTTTGTGTGTTTGATCTCTGCGTGTGTTTACTCTCAGTCGAAGCCCTTATAAAGTGAGGAAATCTATATTCGCTTTAACACACTGCCCAGTGAGGTGGTCCACCGCTGACGCCTTGACTTCCGTGTCTCCGAACTTCATGTTAACGGTGATCTCCCGACGGGGACTGCCTCTTCCTCCTCCTTCAGGAGCGTGGTGGTGACGCCGCGGGGCAGAGCCCAGGTCCAGGTGCAAGGTGCCTACTCTCTCCACTCCGTCCTCAGTCACAAACTGGACAAGTGGAAACAAGGGAGAGAATAGTTAGTAAGGTTAAACAGGTAGGATATTCGTCCCCGAGGAAGGTCATACGAGTCACACACACACACACACACACACACACACACACACACACACACACACACACACACACACACACACGTGTTATGCAGTGCATCAGGCACTGCAATAGCGATTAATAAATGACAAAGCCAGGTATTGCATCATAAGCCCTTATTGTAGGCAACGTTTTGCTCAATAACTTCATCAAGATAACACGAGTTCTCCTTGAGTGAAACGTTGATATAATGAAGGATACGCTACTTCATGTCTTTGTTATCTACTTGTTAATAATAATAATAATAATAATAATAATAATAATAATAATAATAATAATAATAATAATAATAAATCTTTATTTCTGTAAGTACATTATACAACTTATACAGACCATAGCTGACATCAGTGACATACTATATGGAACGCTCCTGGTTATGCAGAGCATTTCGGGCAAATCAGGTAAATTTTGTCCCCAGGATGTTAACTCCTTGCCTTTTCTACCTCAACACAAATGGTGAATTAAAGACACATGAACAGATTAAGGGTTGTGTTTAATTACGTTTCATCTGCTGTGGGACTCGTGAAAAAGTTCCAGAGCCGGCAAGACTCATTTAAATAAAAGGCTAAGTCTGTGTCTCGTATTTATTCTCTGCTCAGTAAGACTGGGATGCTGTGCTTATCTTAGCAACATGCCTTGGGATGCTATGCTTACCTTAGCATCGTGCCTCTGCGTGGCATACAGGTGCAAAATCACTGTAGACTGTGCAGGAGTGGCTGGTGTGTAGGATCGCACCACTACGTCTCCGACAGCTACACTTTCATCCACAACCACGAATCGGTCCAGGACATCGGCGCACCACTCCGCTCCAGCCGCTACCACCCGCTTCTCCGCCGGGTGGACTCCCTTCTGGTAGCGGTTGAGCACCCCGACGCCGTAGGTTAGACGAGACCGTCTGACCGTTACTACCCCGGGATCCAGACCGAACTGCACAGCTCCCCGCAGGATAGCCAGACCCATGCCCTGGAGACCACACAAACACATATTGAAGACATGGCGTAAGCAGACTCAAAAACAAATGTGTTTCCCCACCAACACCAACAGGTTTCTCAATCGACAACAAACTTGTTTCCTGACCAACACAAGTGGGATTCTTAGCCAATACAAACAGGATTATTGATCAACAGCAAACCTGAGGAATGATGACATTGACTCGGTGGCCGAAAGCGTCTCTGATGTGCTTCTGCAGAAGCTCAGACTCTGCAAAGCCTCCCACTAGGAACATGTACTGCAGCTGACCCACCTCCGGCGCCGACAACACTGACTCGATAGCCTGTAGGAGACGAATCATGGTCAGGCTAGTAAATTTATGTAGGCACAAGCAATCGTAAGTACAGTTATTATACACTGTGCAATTTACCTATTATAACAACCCAAAAAAGTCAGACAGACTGATTTATTTACATTGGGGTCCTTGGTCTATTTACACTGGAAGACTTCATTACAAGGCTTACAACACAAACTGGAAATGAGGAATAAAAAAAAAAGCACAGCGGCTCGAAAAATTCACAAATAGCCTATTTTGAACGACAGAAATATGGCCTAATATTTTCTTTCCAGAATGTTTGTTATCGGTACAGTTTACATAAGATCGATCTTGTGTAAACAGTACCCAAATAAACTTGACTCTTAGGAAGAACAGAAAACGTTGTCCAGCTCTTATTTTTGAGATCTGGGAATTTTACGACTAAATACAACCAGGATCTGGTGACTTTCAGTCTGCTGGGATAGAGGCAGCTGTATATTTCTGGCCAGGTCATCATGTATACCCCTGACCAGGTCATCATGTATACCACTGACCAGGTCATGTATACCACTGACCAGGTCATCACGTAGACCACTGACCAGGTCATCACGTAGACCACTGACCAGGTCATCACGTATACACCTGACCAGGTCATCATGCATACCACTGACCAGGTCATCATGTATACCACTGACCAGGTCATCATGTATACCACTGACCAGGTCATCATGTATACCACTGACCAGGTCATCACGTATACCCCTGACCAGGTCATCATGTATACCACTGACCAGGTCATCATGTATGCCACTGACCAGGTCATTATGTATACCCCTGACCAGGTCATCATGTATACCACTGGCCAGGTCATCATGTATACCACTGACCAGGTCATCATGTATACCACTGACCAGGTCATCACGTAGACCACTGACCAGGTCATCACGTATACCCCTGACCAGGTCATCATGTATACCACTGACCAGGTCATCATGTATACCACTGACCAGGTCATCATGTATACCACTGACCAGGTCATCATGTATACCACTGACCAGGTCATCACGTATACCCCTGACCAGGTCATCATGTATACCACTGACCAGGTCATCATGTATGCCACTGACCAGGTCATTATGTATACCCCTGACCAGGTCATCATGTATACCACTGGCCAGGTCATCATGTATACCACTGACCAGGTCATCATGTATGCCACTGACCAGGTCATCATGTATACCACTGACCAGGTCATCATGTATACCACTGACCAGGTCATCATGTATACCACTGACCAGGTCAAGTATACCACTGACCAGGTTATCATGTATACCACTGGCCAGGTCATCATGTATACCACTGACCAGGTCATCATGTATGCCACTGACCAGGTCATCATGTATACCACTGACCAGGTCATCATGTATACCACTGACCAGGTCATCACGTATACCTCTGACTAGGTCATCATGTATACCACTGACCAGGTCATCATGTATACCACTGACCAGGTCATCACGTATACCACTGACCAGGTCATCATGTATACCACTGGCCAGGTCATCATATATACCACTGACCAGGTCATCATGTATACCACTGACCAGGTCATCATGTATACCACTGGCCAGGTCATCATGTATAAGAACATAAGAACGAAGGAACACTGCAGAAGGCCTACTGGCCCATGCGAGGCAGGTCCAAGTTCCTACCGGCTTAAGCCAATGCACCCAACCTAGTCAGGTCAGGTCACACTGACTTAAGGGAGGAACACGGCAACCAACCTGGTAGCTCAAGCTATCAGGTCCAATTCACACCCACCCACATCCACTCATGTATTTATCCAACCTATTTTTAAAGCTACACAACGTTCTGGCCTCTATAACTGTACTCGGGAGTTTGTTCCACTCATCCACAACTCTATTACCAAACCAGTACTTTCCTATATCCTTCCTGAATCTGAATTTTTCCAACTTAAAACCATTGCATACCACTGACCAGGTCATCATTCATATATACCACTGACCAGGTCATCATGTATACCACTGACCAGGTCATCATGTATACCACTGGCCAGGTCATCATGTATACCACTGACCAGGTCATCATGTATACCACTGACCAGGTCATCATGTATACCACTGGCCAGGTCATCATGTATGCCACTGACCAGGTCACCATGTATACCACTGACCAGGTCATCATGTATACCACTGACCAGGTCATAATTTAGCAAAAAACCGTGTCAGGGATCGTCCCTCAAGAATTTATCACAAATGCTCATCTGGGTGACGTTGGCGATTGTGGGATGGAATCTCTTTCTCTCCCACTCTCTTTCTCTCCCACTCACTTTCTCTCCCACTCTCTTTCTCTTTCTCCCTCTCTCTTACCTGGGTGATGCTGGAAAGTGTTGGAAGGAAGAGCTGCCTCATAGTCTCCTGTTCCACCCTCAGCATCCCTTGAGATGACCATCTCACTCCAAGATGCTGCTGCTTCTTAATGGCCCACTCCACCTATATAAAAAAAATATTAAAATATAGAACTTTAGACACTTATTATTCTCAGTGATTTTTATTTTAACCACATCGATTTTAGTGAAGAATAAATGACAGTTGAATGACTGTATCAACTTACAGGTAATCTACACTTAGGAGAAGCTACTACTGTACTACTACTACTACTACTACTGCTACTACTACTACTACTACTAGACTACCACCGCTACTACTACTACTATTCTCTCCCCTCCTTCCCGACCTGTCTACATGCCCCAGGGGGCGTCACTGTCCCTTGTCTTCATCCCCCTGGGGGTTTGAGAAAAAATTTCTCCACACCCATGACTAAACTAAAAAATCCGAAAAATTAATATATATTCAAAAAATCTAACTAGCGTTAAAATATTTAAATAATTTTCTTTTTGCTCCCCCCAAATTTACTCAAGATTCACAACTTAATTAGACTCACATCTTTGCCCTTATATTTGCGGTACAAGTCGATGAAAGAAAACGGAAGAGCGATATTTAATGGGGTGCTCCTGTAAGGCGAGGCGTTCCTCTTACGGGACTCGAAGGCGATCATGAGATCGACGTAGGCCGCTGGTCGCTGCTGGCGAAACGTAGCCAAGAAGTCTGTGCCGAAGATGGTCTCCAGGAACCTTTCGAACTCTGCATCAACACCTATGGCAGAAAGATTGAAAATAATGAAAATTATACTACTACAACAACTACTACTATTACTACTAGTACTATTACTACTACTACTACTACTACTACTACTACTACTACTAATAATAATAATAATAATAATAATAATAATAATAATAATAATAATAAGAAGAAGAAGAAGAAGAAGAAGAAGAAGAAGAAGAAGAAGAATATTACTACTACTACTACTACTACTACTACTACTACTACTGCTACTACTACAGGTGATTGTAGCTCAAATAGTAGCTACAACAGTTCACTGAGAGACCGAAGTTTAGTCCTCGACATGAGGGGGGTAAACGTTGGTTATGTCACCTTATACCTGCTGTCCCTCTTCACCTAGCAGTAAGTAAATACCTGAGTGTTAGTTACCTTACACCTGTTCTCCCTGTTCATCTAGTTGTAAGTAGGTACCTGGGTGTTAGTTACATTACACCTGCTGTCCCTCTTCACCTATCAGTAAGTAAGTACCTGGGTGTTAGTCGACTGTTGTGAGTGTGGCATCCTGGGGGAGAAGATTGAAGATCCTTAATGGAACTAAGCCAGACTGGTGAGAGTGGGTTCTTTGAACTGGATTGGGTTACAAAACTTCCAGGTTAATCAAACTAAATCTTCCTGGTTTATTGTTTACCTCCACGGGTTTTCGAAAGGTCTTAAAAACAAGTAAAAAGGAACCAGTTTCGGTTTTTGACAAACATTAGTGCCAGGGAGTTCTCAAACATTTACCGATGAGACTAAAACCACGTATGATGCACTAGAACACTTTATTAGACGTTTCGCCCACTGGGTCTTTTTTTTATTAATTCTAATTTGTGAGTGAGACTTGCCAAGTATGGAGCAGCAGGACTGCTGCAGTGTTCCTCCAGTCTTATGTTCCCATAAAGTGTTCTAAGACTCTTCATTCCTATAAGCTCTTCTCTAGGATGCGTTCAGTTTGCTCACAAATTTCTTCCCCGTCAGGTTAGTATTGAGATACCTGGTACCAATACTCATCTATTACTTTTTAACAAGTCACTAGAAACTAGCACTTTCCCGACACTACTTAAGACAGCAAGGGTTACACCAATACATAAAGGTGGTGACCCTACAGACGTAAACAACTATAGGCCAATGTCAAACTTACCATTGCTATCCAAAATCTTCGAGAAACTCGTGCACAGGAAACTACATTCATTTATAACGTCACAAAACATACTCAACCCCTGCCAATTTGGATTCAGGAAAAATAAAAGCACTAATGATGCAATTATAAAAATGCTAGACCTGCTTTACACAGCATTGGAAAATAAGGAATATCCGCTAGGATTTTTTGTTGACCTAAGAAAAGCGTTTGACACAGTAGACCACGGCATCCTACTCCACAAACTTGACCACTATGGTATAAGAGGCCATGCACTTGCATATTTTAAATCCTACCTTTCTAATAGATATCAGTATGTCACCATTAAAGACACAGCCTCATCAATACGGCCACTTGATACTAGAGTTCTGCAGGGAAGTGTCCTTGGACCCCTGCTCTTCCTCATTTACATCAATGATCTTCCAAACATATCCAAACACCTGAAACCCATTCTCTTTGCTGACGACACGGCTTATGTCATCTCCCACCCTAATCTTGCCACCCTCAACACCATTGTTAACGTGCAAAGAAAGGTATAAAATACCGACAATATGAAAGTTAAGACACATGTGCAACATCTGGATATCCAGATGTTGCACATGTGTCTTAACTTTCATATTGTCGGTATTTTATACCTTTCTTTGCACAACTTGTCAGACACTGCAACATCATGGAATCTTGGTTCAGAGGACATCTACAAGACCTTCTTCACGGCTGCTGCAACTAACCCATCTCTTTGGGAAGGACCTACTTCCACTGGGGAATCCCGCCTACCAGTGACTGACCTCGTCTGCTGCCCGTCCCATTCACTGACGCCTATAAAAAGCGCCAGTCTTCTTGCCTTTGCTCCAGACTCTCCTCCACCACGATGCTGTGAACACTAACTCCAAGGCCGAGGGACTGATTACCTCATCTTTTGTATATAGTTCTACTGTCTTCCTATTATGTCCTAGAATCTGTATTGATAAAGCCACTGGATGGCGAAACGTCTACTACAATAAAGATATCCAGATGTTGCACATGTGTCTTAACTTTCACCATTGTTAACGAAGAGCTGCTCAAAATATCGACTTGGATGACAGCCAATAAACTTACACTTAACACTGGCAAAACCTACTATATTATGTTTGGTAGCAAAGTAGGTGTTGCGCAACTTAACATTAAGATCGACAACACTCTAATTTTCAGACATAATGAGGGCAAATTCCTTGGCCTATACCTCGACAACAACCTAAGTTTCAGCACCCATATCCAACACAACAAAAAAAGTATCCAAAATGGTGGGGATCCTCTCCAAGATACGATACTACGTACCGCAAACTGCCCTTCTCACACTATACCATTCACTTATATATCCATACCTCACCTATGCTATCTGTGCTTGGGGTTCAACTGCAGCAACACACCTAAAACCAATAATAACCCAACAAAAAGCCGCAGTAAGAATAATCACTAAATCCCGTCCCTGGCAACACCCCCCCCCACTCTTCATAGATCTAAACTTACTCCCTGTTCAGAACATCCACACTTACTACTGTGCAATCTATATCTACAGGACCTTAAATTCCAATATTAACCTTGACCTAAAACGCTTTCTTTATAGTTGTGACAGGATCCACAGGCACAACATCAGACACAAACATCTCTATGACATTCCCCGTGTTCGACTAAACCTTTGCAAAAATTCAATGTATTTCAAAGGACCTAAAATCTGGAACATCCTACCTGAAAACTCTAGAACTGCAGACACATTCACTACTTTCAAAACTACAGTTAGAAAACATCTTATCACCCTGATCCACCCCGACAACTAACTACATGATAACCACCTGGTGGTTCAAAATTACACTCACTCACTCACTGACTATAAACCCAGAAATACTAATCTTAATCTTAAAATAATAAATCCTAACTAGTCATAAGTTTGCCTATGATACTCAAATATAGACACCTTGTATTGTGCCAAAACAAAAGCATTCACATTGCTCAACTCACAAATTATGATGTAGTCACTTAGCCTTAATACCATAATCTGTAAGGATTTAATGTTAAGAATTAATCTAAGTCTGCTGGAAATGCCTAGCCATGCTAGGTGTCCTAGTGGCTCCCTCTGTAATTAGTATTTTATAACATGTAAACCCCAAAATACCCAAAACCTGTAAACCCCACATTGTAACCCTTATAGAGAATAAACTTGAATTGAATTGAATTGAAATGGAGCTGCAAGAACCTGGTGCCAGTATTCACCTATGGAGCCATGAGGACCTGGTGCTTATACTCACCTATGGAGCCATGAGGACCTGGTACTAGTACTCACCTATGGAGCCACGAGGACCTGGTGCCTGTGCTCACCTATGGAGCCATGAGGATCAGGCATCTGTGCTCACCTAGGGAGCCGTGAGGAACTGGTGCTACTACTCACCTATGGAGCCATGAGGACCTCCAGTAGCCTTATGAAGCTCCTTAAGGTGACCTGTCGTGCGATCGGTCATCTGGTGCACGGTGATGTCCACAGTACCACCACCACAGTCAACCACACCGTACACCGTATCTGTGAGGTCAGTACGTCGTTAATAGCATCATAGTGATTATGGTCAGTTAATGGGGTTTCAAGCATATCGACTGCACTATGCTCATTAATGTTACATCTAAAAATCTTCTCATCACTTGACAAAAATATTTTAATCCCTAAAGTAGGAATTAAAGTAATATATATATACATATATATATATATATATATATATATATATATAATATATATATATAATATATATATATATATATATATATATATATATATATAAATTATAATATATATATATATATATATATATATATATATATATATATATAATATATATATATATATATATATATATATATATATATATATATATATATATATTATATATATATATATATAATATATATATATATATATATATATATATATATATATATATATGTAACATAAATTATAAATGCTGATAAATTCTACATAACCAAACTAGAAGAGTCTATGTAGAGAGAGACCACACAACCATGCAAGGAAGAAACGGTGCCTCAACTACCAGAATTTCCCAACAGCGTCAGTGAACTAAAAAAAAATATGCCCGAAAAAAAATTGACTTTTTTACACATTAAAAGTTTGTAAAAGCCGAGAGATGTATATCTTCAGTGTATATACCCCTTTTAAGCACAATCAAGCCCTATAAGCACTATCAACCCACTTAAAGGACCATCCCCTTAACTTCTTCCACTAGAGGAAAATAGCAGAAAGTAGTCAGTCCATACTTTTTAGGAGTAAATACTGCTGCGTTAGTCTTTCTACAATGATGGGGGGAGTGGTGATGGTAATGAGTCCCTTCACTCACCCAGTCTCCCACAGTCTCCACACCCCGGTACGGTTTTGAGATGACTCCCTGAAAACACAATTTTAAGTCAAATTTTTAATACAACAACTAAAAACAACAACTAAAAACAAATAAAAACAAAATTTGCGGGATATAGTGGACCCTCGATTTACGATATTAATCCTTCCAGAGTCTCATCGTTTAGACAAATTGTAGTTACTTGAATTAATTTTTCCCTATAAGAAATAAGGAAAACAAATTTAAATCCTTTCCCAGACACCTAAAAGATGAAAAAAAAAATATTTACCCATGAAATATACTTTTTCCTAACACAAAAAGAAGGATACTACACATATTATTGGCTTACTTTACTAAAGAAGAATAAATGCACCTTTTTTTAAGATATGTGATGAGTGTGGGGGGGGGAGGGCGTGGAGGTTTTTTATTTTTTTGGGAAAAAACTGGCTTTTTCTCCTTCAGCCCTATGTACCCCCCGGAATTATGCACATATTTTTGCCTCTTTTTCGTCTGAACTGGCAGCCTTCCCCGCCCTATCCCCTGGTTGCCCTACGATTCTTAAAACTTCAAACCAATTTTCGGGTTAAATTCACTCAAATCAGTACTAATTTTCAGGCATTTTTTAATTAAAACTTCATCAACTGCCTTGCCTTTTCACTATGATTGCTTGAGAGATGCTCTTCTCCTGTATCTGTTTTTTTTTTTATCCACTTTGTTATTATTCCTTCTTAATTTCGATTTAATTTTCACCCTCTTTACCACAGGGTTTGGACTAGAAGCTTTCTTGGGCCCATGGTGGGTTATTTCGTTACAAGGTAAAAACACTGGAATAATACAAAATGTACCCAATGTATGGGGAAGTGACCGCACTGGTTTTAAACATGGCACACTAACTGAAGGCGGGCGTTGGGCTGCTCAGGCCAGAGGGGATGTGTGGAGTGTTTTGGCAAATTTTAAAGTTTAATTTTTTCGAGGATGGGGGGAAAATTTTTTTCGCTGAAAAACCCCCGTAAGTCGTTTTATCATTAGGGGAGGCCTTCTAAGTCGAAGTCCACTTATACACAACCCCACACACTATTATATATATTATGTATATTATATATTATATATTATTATTATAATATTATATATATATTATAATTATATATAATATGTAATATATAATTAAAACTGGAGTTTACCTGGGGAATTTTGGGGTTTAACCCCCCCGCGGCCCCGGGCTGTGACCAGGGGCCCCTGTGGATCGCGCCGATAACCCGGCTTGCTGCTGGGGTGCACGAAACCAACGTACGGCCACACCCCCGGCTGATCAGGAATGACTTTTGGTGCTTGTCCCCTGCCGTTGAAGACTGAGGGTCTTTGGTAATCCCCCTTATGTGGCTGGGAGGCGTTGAACGTCTCGGGGCCCCCGACACTTATTGTATGGGCTTTTAAAGGTAGTGAACCCCTTTTTCATTGGGGGGGGGGTGCATCGTTGCCAAGTCTTTTTTTTCGTTTGGTGATTTTCGTGTGAAGTTCGGTACAGTCCCTTAGGGTTTTTCCCGGTGTTAAAAATCAGTATCTTTCCCCCCTCGTTCCGGGAATACAGGTTTGAAAAATCAAGCGCTC